AAAATATGACAGAGAGGTATTTGTGTCATGTAACAGAGTACAGTATTTTTTGACACAGTATAAGTAAAACTTCCTAACAAAAGCTTTCAATGAGAAAAGTGGGAGACTCTAATCATAATACTGAAACACACTTTTGTTAATTTCCCTTACTGTCTACAATGCAAAAGAATTTTACTATATATTGATAGAAAGCAACTACCCTAGAAAAGAGAACTCAGCACATAATTAGTGTACTTACAATTCAAAAAAAGTTTCAGTATGTCCATAGAGAAACCTAGACATCACCACATTTTTTTAATACAAATATCTTGTGATTACTAACATCACTGAAACATTTGTGTAATAAATTATACAGGACTGATTAAAAATCTAATTCCTGAGCCCTCCCTGGTGGTGCAGCAGGTTAAAGCACAGCACTAAGAAGCTAAAGCTACTTCAGCATGAGTTTGATCCTTTCCCTGGGGGTGATCCACATGGTGCAATGGACCTCTACTGGCTTGCCCACTGCTCCCCTCAGCAGTGTACTTCTTTAGTCAGCCTGTTCTGTTCCCCACTCTGTCTCTGGTGAATCCTCTCACCACCCCTGCACCTCTGGCCTATACCCCAGGTCTGTGTGCATAAATAAATGCATCTTAAAAAAAAAAATCTGACTCCTTAGTGGCAAGAAGCCTTTAAAACTGGAGAGGAAATATTTTCCCTAATACCTATGTATATACACACATACATGAGTTCATCTAATTGGAGAAATAATACTTCTAGTATAGATTTAGACATGATAATGATTATACCAAAAACAAAAAAGTACTGCTAAGTGAGAAAACAGCACGGTTAATACAAATTATTAACTGAGTTGATCAAACAAATCTGAAACAAATGCTTACATGTAAAAGAAGCATCAGATCAATTACTAAGAACCTCAACATAAAGTTTAAAAAGAGAGAATGTCCTACAGTGGGGCCGAAAGATAGGAAGTGAAACAAAAAATATTAGTCTGAATTGAGTGATGACAGTTTTAGGCTATATTTAGTTTACCATGTAATTTGTCTGCTTAAGTTTGAGATAATCTGATGTGCTAAATATACTAACACCTTGGCTGGTTTACTGTGCTTTATGTCAATGACAGGAAATAAGAAAAAAGAAGTGCAAGTAAAGGAAAAACTCAGTCTCCCGGCCTTACAGTAAGGCAAGAAGTAGCACTTCCCAGGGCAGGTAACCTGGACCTACTTAAATAAAGACATCATAAAAGTTTTAACTTCTCACAACTAAAAGTCAGCAAAACATTGATGCTAAGTACTTCATTAAAAGCACATTTCTTCATTGGGAAATGGGATCGAAAACAGTGGGGGTGGGGTGGGGAGAGAAATGCACTGGACTATGGTGATGGCACATGGGTTATTTGGTGATGGGAAACCCAAGGGGATTGCAAATGAGATGGAAAAATGCACAAAAATATGTAAAAATAAACTATTATAAAATTTAAAAACAAATAAAAGCACATTTTTTGATATAATAAAGGAAAGCACAAGGCTTAAAACAAAACACCCAAACATGTTTATTTAATTACCTTTTTTGGCTGCCTTTCTACGACTTCAGTTTTTAACCAGGTTTCAACTTCTTCAATTTTCTTTTTATGCACAGCAAGTTCATACTAAAAATTTCAAGTTTAAGATAAAACATTTTAATTGAAGGATTTCTGGTGAATCAGCGTGGATTTATCTAAACATTTTCAATGAAAAAAAAAAAAAACTAGCAAATGAGTAATAAGATAATGTAACAAAAAACAGACCTGATCACACTTAAATTTTCTAATTCTGTTACAGAAAAATTCTGCTCCTAAACTGACACAACTGTCAGTTTGGGCTGGTCTGCAATTAAAAATAGATTAATTCTACATTGGTTAAATTCAATCTAAGACAAATGACTAGTGCTGTCACTTTAGAAAAAACAAACAAACAAAAAAATTAAGAAAACTTAGGAATTGTGTTTGCCTCATTTAATCAGAAATATTGTTATGAGTAGTGATCTGAAAATGCACATTCTTCTTTCTAAAAAAAACGTAGACTTGTTTGTTACCTGAGTTTCCGGTTTATATTTATCCACCCATGGCTCATTTTCAGATAGATACTCCTTTGAATTTTCCAGCCCATAACTCTGTTCTGAAGAAGACAGTTTCCCTTTATTTTGAGTTGGAAATTTGCCACTTTTTAATGTGGAAGGCACATTTTTTTTTCTATGACTTGAGTTATTAACACTTAGTGATGTGGCAGTAACAGCAGAGATGCCTATATTCTCTGAGAAATCATCAAATGATGGATCTACCCAGTCGGTTACCTGAAAAAAAATACAGACACAAACATGTAAATGCTATTACAATATTGACATTTATTTCCTACATAACTGAACTGCTCTGCAAAAAAATTATATCCCATTTCTTGCAATATTTAAAATAAAAGTCTTACAAATAGTTCTTTAAATTAAACTGGCTCTAGATGCAGGGTTTTTGGGTACTTTACAGTAAGTGTAACACATATTTTTCTATTTGACAAGGTAATGATGAACGTTGTAAAGAGATACATATGATCTTTTTATTAATAATAATTTTCCAGGACAGAATATGTTCATTTTTTATTTTTTTTTTAAAGCATCTCTAGGATGTGATTTTAAATATTAAGTCACCTACCAAAAAGAAGTAACAAAGAAATAATATTTTAACTATACACAGCAATTAGAAAAGCTACACTGTCACCTCAGTCATGTTAATACATTCATAAACTGAGAACCACATCATACACCTTGTCAGCTTTAACATTTTGTGAAGATATATTCAAAGAATCCTAAAGCTATGAATAACTTATAATTCTGTCTTGATTATTTTTTTCTTCAGCTCAAGAAGCAACTAATATCTTGATAAAAGGGAGGCAATTTTCTAGGGAGAGTGATTTGTCAGATTTACCTAGCAAAAAGAGCACTATGTTATTAAACAGAAAAATCAGTGAATTATGGTTCATGTTCTTCTGGTCTACATAAATTGTTTACCTTTCTAGCTAGATTTATCTCCATTGTTTCCTTTTCTTTAAATGCACACAAAGAAATTGAATTAAGCAATTTTAACCTAAAAAAATCTAGGATATTAAAAAGGTTTTTATTAAGTAAGAATTTTTAGGATGGTTTTTAACATTCCAAAAGAATAAATTTAGAAAAACCTAGCTTAGTACCTGGTTTTTGGAATTTCCCACCTGGCTAACAAGGCAAGGGAATGAAGATTATAATTTTCATATGACTACTCAGCCACAGTTGTAGGCCTTTAATTAGACAATATTCCTTTCTAGTCAAAAAAGAACCCAAAGGCTCAGGACAATAAAGCTGGGGTTTATAAGTATTTTATGATTGCAAAGACACACTTTATTCTTTTAAAGACAGAGGGTGAAGAATATTATCAGCAGGGCCTTCCTGGTGGTTTAGGGGTTACACCTTAGCACTATCCTGCTAATGCTGCTGTGGCCTCAGTTTGACCCCAGGCCAGTGAGTTAACCCACATATGGTATACATCTCTCCTGTTTTGCCTACTTCTCCCCTTATTGCAGTAAATCCACCTGTTCTGCTCCCGTTTCTGGTGAATCCTCTCACCTCCTGCACCTCTAGCCTACCCCACAGTTGTTCAATGCATAAATAAATTAAAAGTAAATCTCTTAAAAAAAGAGATTATCAGCAGTGTGTAAAGACAGGCATTGGAGAAAACTGGATCTTAACCACTTATTTTTTCCTTCTCTTCAAAACACTGCCACTGTTTCTACTTTTTGGGTCCTTTTCCTCTATTTTCCAGAGTACATAAAAATATCATCTGCTGCAGTATATCTTTTTTTTAAAGTTTTATTTATTTATGCATACAAGAACTGGGGTGCAGGTATGGGAGGTGGGAGGATGCACCACAGATACAGCGAGGAACAGAATAGGCAGATTGACTTCAATACAATGCAGCAGGCAAGACAAGAGGTCTGCTTTGCCAAGTGGACCACTTCCCTGGGCTGGGATTAACTGGTACTGCAGTAGCTGCTGATAGTTTCACAGCACTGTGTCTTAACCCTTTGAGACCACTGTAGTAGTGGTTGGTGCAGGGGCGGTGAGAGGCTTCACCAGAGACAGAGTGGGGAACAGAACAGGCAGATCAACGAAGTACACTGCTGAGGGGAGCAGCGGGCGGGTCAGGAGAGGTCTGCCACACCATGTGGTCACCTCCGGGGCAGGCGGGAATCGAACTCATGCGGAAGCGGCTTTAGATTCTCAGTGCTGTGCTTTAACCCGCTGCGCCACCAGGGAGGGCCCTGCAGTATATCTTTTAATAGCAATTCTGATCTGCACGTTACTCATACATTTTATAATTTTACTTCTGACATTTTTCTTGGGGAAAAAACAGCGAAGTTAAATAACCTACTTAAGATCAGAGAAAAAGCAGATAGAAATACTAAGAAAACAGCTGCCTTACATGAGAAGAACGCTGTCTGTCTCTGATACTATCTATTCCTTAACCTTGCTGAGATCTGGTACATTGAACCTCATGATTTCTCTTATACCCTATCTCTTAGAAACACCAACTGCAACTCAAATATTTCTTTCTTCTACTTTTTCAGTCAAAAGTTTTCAGTCTTTGTGAGTGGGACTGTAAACCCTTTTTACAAAATTAAGGTTGTACTTTCAGTACACAATTGTTTAACTTATTGTTAGGCTTTTTAAAATCACCCATTATAACAGGTAATAGGTGCCATTACTTCGATGGCAATAAAAAGTTAAGAACCTATTAAAAAGTTCATAATTCTGGGCCGTCCCTGGCGGGCAAAGGGTTAGACTGCAGCACTGCAAGCTGGGCGCAGCCACTTCAGTATGAGTTTGACCCCGGCACTGGAGGTGACCCACATGGTAAGCAGACTTCTCCTGTCTTGCCTGCTGGTCCCCTCAGCTGTGTACTTCATCCATCTATCTGTCCTGCTCCCCACTCTGTCTTTGATGAAGCCTCTCATCGCCCCTGCACCTCTGGCTGGTACCCTAGTTCTGCATGAATAAATGTATACATTTTTAATTCATAATTTGTTTTTGCAATTATTACATGACCATTTTAGCAGATCATACCTTTGTGGAAGATACCTTTGGTCTATGAAAAGTTTTTGACATTATAAACTTTAACAGTTTCCATGCGTAGTATACAACCGGTATTACATTAAGGTATAATTCACCTAGAGTAAAAAAGAAGAAAAAAGTAAAACATAAGTATGAAAATTAACATTGATATGATGAATCATATACTAAAGTTAAGGTTCAAGAACGAGAACACAGTAAAAAAATATTGGTGAAGCAAAGAAATAAAAATGCTAAATTTTACTTTTACAAACAATATCTGTGAAATTATCTCTTTGTGATGTGTTTATAAAAGTAAAGGAGGGAATTTATTAGAGCACACAGAAAAGTAACATGGTTGTGTATTTCCTTTTTGTCCTTAAAGAAAATTAGAAAATTCTATCTTTTATAGAAAATTTAAATGTTTCTTATTTTAAATTACAGTTGCAGTTTTTCATTTCCAAAATTCCTGCCTACCCCTAAATCCCATATAATGAGTTCACACTTAACATTTTTTTAACAGACTTTGAAGCTTAGTATACATTTTTTCTGCAATACTATCTCTTATTTGCAAATGTTACTAGAAGATTTTGGCTACACTGTATTTTCTGACTTTGGTAATTCTTTACTGTTTCGTACAAGCCACTGACTCATCAATTTTTAATCAGAATTAAAATTTTTAAGGTCTATTGATACAAAGGTGTACTGATTGGTTCCACTCCCCTCAAGAGATTGGAGGCACATAAAGCTTACAATGGGTAAATACTAGACACTAGAGATAACTATCACAGACATAGTCGAAAACGAAGCATACACGCACAAATCGCTCACGATTAGAGAGATTTTTTTCCTTCGGAGTTTCAAGAGGTTTACAGACGGAAAAATCAACACTGAGTTAACTGAGCAGTTGGTATGTCAATATAAAAGACGCGAGCTTTTATTATGGGCAGGACTCTAGAAACTCACTTAAAACAACACTGACAGTTACCTCCTCTAAAAGGCGGCTAACTGACCCTAATGATGCCAGGTTCCTGAAATGAGATGTCAGAGGCAGAAGGAACCTTCAACAATGTGTCTAACGGACCCACCAACATGCTACTCACTGCACAGGGAACGCTAACTCAAACATCCTCCAAACGCCGTTACGCCGCGGAGAGCCCAGAAGAGCTCGCGCGTCCCGGCTCCAGGCCAGAGTTTTGTACCCTCACCCCTCTCACCCCCCAGAAGGCTGGGCAGGCCGGGAGGAGGAGCGACGAGAGCCCGGGAAGGCGTGGAGTCAAGAGAAGGACTCGCGTCTCCAGGGCAAACACACATAACAGCCGCAACCGCCGCAGCCTTACTTTCCGGGAGCCGCATCCCCCCGCGGAGGGGAGGGGAGTGGAGAAGCCCAGGTCCAGCTCCTGGTGCCAGGACAGCCACAGTCCTACCTCGGCTCAGCTCCGAGCCGCTCGAAGGTCCCGCCTCCCGGGGACCTTTCAGAGCAGTCGGCGCCTCCGCGACACAGCCGAGGGGCGGGGCCTCCAAAGGGGCTGCGACTTAGACATCTAACACACTGCCTGACCCAAAACGCCACCCGTCCTGCGCCCCTGCTTCGCACCCTGAAGTGGAAGCGTGTCATAGAAGGCCGAGTAAGCAACGGTCGGTGACTAGGCGAAGGGGTTAGGTCGTGAGCTCCACGCAGCGGCTTAAGGACCCCGGGGCCGCTGGCGCATATCACCGCCCACCCCTTCCGGCTCCTTCCTGTTGTGCGTCGTGTGCGTGAGGCTAGGCGCCCGGAGCCGTCGCGGGGAAGACCATGTTGCTTCCGAACATCCTGCTCACGGGTCAGGGCGCGCGGCGGGGAGGGGCTGGTCGGCGGGGCAGAGCGGGGACCCCGAGTGTTTTGGGGTCTCGGGCGCCCAAAGAGGCCGTTTCAAGGCCAGAGCTATGTTTTGAGGCCAGTTGGGGGCCGCGTGGCGTGGCAGTTGTCAGTCCCTCGACGCCAGGCTCGGGCGACCCGAGTGGGGGGGGTGGGGGAGTTGGGGACGGGGACGGTTGAGGAACGTTAATTCTGTTGACCAGCGGTTACTCGGCGAGATGGAGCGAGGTCGACCAATCCAGCTTACTTTCCTACTTTCTCATTTTTTTTTTAATAGCACTTTTTATTTGGCAGGGTTCCCTTGTGGGTTTGGCGAGATAACGTGAGACAGTATTTGATTTTAGTAGGTTCACGGTGGATGTTTTAGTCCTAAGACCTTCTGTCCTGTCTTTAAGTTTTCTTTTGTATCTGGGACCCACTTCCCAGATCAGATTTTAGTTAAAGGTTTGGATGTTGGTTGCGTAGGGTGACTTTATTTGCTGTGTATGTCAACATCAGATTCTTTTAAGAAAAAAAATATACTGACCTCTGTTGTAAGATGCTCCTGTAAAGTTCTTAGACTGATCGTGAGGGTCTTCTGAATGTGTGGGTCCATACTCAGACCTTGTAGTTAGTGAGGGGTACTAAAGTGTTTTATGACGACTTAAAAATAAGTCGTTTAGATCTGAAAATGTTCTTTAAACTGTTGCAGTTAAAAGCGCCGTAGGTCATTCATGGGGAAATCTAAAGGGGTTAGCTGCTACTGCAATGTAGACAAAAATTGAGATGCTCAGTGGAAACAAAGCAGTGGCGTTTTTAATCATTGAATAGGACATAAGCTTGTTGACAGTCCTCAAGTTGAGCTTCCAGAGCTGTAGATCAATACCTGTTGATAAAATGTTTAGCATTTCAGATTTCTTAAGGGGAAAGTTTGCAATATTTCATTTATTGGGATCAGGCAGTGTCCTGGTTTTTAGTATTAGGGTGGATTGTGAAAAATCTAAAGGTGAACGCTTTATTGAAAACATGGCAAGTTCAGGGTTCAAACTTGGTTTGTTGTAGTGAATTTGAGATAAATGTTAGTCTCTTATAGAGAGAAGATGACTTGCCCCTGTTTCATAATAATCAGGTTCTATAATGTCAGTGATGTTAAATCTGAAGAGCTGAAAATGATGGATTTGATTAGCAATAGCTAAGAAGGTGAAGAATGTATATTGTTAATTGTGTAAAAGGAAATAGGTGGTATATGCATGCAACATGTACATATATAACATGCTACCATACACGTGCACATAGGTATGCACCGTCATATGTGGTAGGATGTTTTTAGAAAAATACAATAGAAAATGACAGTGATTGCCTCTAGCAAAGGTCCTGTAGTGGTAATGAAATTTGTCTTTCATATTACTTGATTTTTTTTTCCTCCATGAGCAATTAAAAATGTTACCTAACTAAAATAAATGGTGTTGATTTACTTGGTATATAATTTTATTCTGGAAATTTGACTACATGGTGATGAAAGGCAATAAAATCGGTACCAATTGCCAAAGACCTAGAATCAGTACTCTAGGTGAGATTCTGCAGGCTTTGAGTAGTTTTGATTGTCGTGATGTATATTAATTCATATAGGATGGTTAGTTAGGAAATTTTGTTTCAGTAGTTTAGAACCTTAGTAAGCTGCAGATAAGTGGTTAAAGTTTCATACGTATTTTATGTACAATATTTTCCTGTGACTTGTCTTACAGGTACACCAGGAGTTGGAAAAACCACATTAGGCAAAGAACTTGCAACAAGATCAGGACTGAAATACGTTAATGTGGGTGATTTAGCTCGAGAAGGTAAGGAACACTTGGTGTTAGATTTATTGTAAAAGAGAGATAGTAGAATATTATACTTGTATTGTGAGAGGGTACTAAGAAGCAGAGAAAGAGTATTATTAAAGAAATTGTGCTTTATTGAGGACTCATCGAAATACCATGTTCAATGCTATGTCCTGGTTGTTTTGACCATTGTATATCTTCCCCCTTTAAATGCCTAGCAATTCTTGTGGGCAGTAGTTAATTGGGAAGGCGTCCTTGAAGCAGTCGGACTTAGATAGAACCTGAATGTGAGGAAGAGGGAGAATGTTTCGATTTGGGCCAACACATAAAGGTTTTGGGTGGTGCTAAGCTTATCTGTAAGGACACTAAGTATATTATTACTGGAAAGACAGATTATTTAACAACTCAGATGTAGGTCATGGTTATCCTATAATATTTTCCTAAGTTTGATAATTGCAAGCATGCACATAACTGCATGTGTATTTGAAATTACACATTTTTACTTATTTTACTATTTTCTCCAAATCTTTTATCAATCCCTACTTTTTTCTATTACAATGATTTATACAGGGTAAAAATTCAGTTTGAATAAAGGGGACTTTTAAGTTGCCTCCAGAAAATTTTTGAATTTTAAATCTAATTTAAAAATTGTAACATATTTTTAAAAAAATTATGATCCTGACAGTTGCTACTAAAGTAACTATTTCAGGTTTGATCTAATAATACATATTTTTTTCAAATGATCTAAAGTCTGATCACCGGATATCATGGAGTCTGGCAAGATGGCTTCTCCCAAGAGCATGCCGAAAGATGCACAGATGATGGCACAAATCCTGAAGGATATGGGGATTACAGAATATGAGCCAAGAGTTATAAATCAGATGTTGGAGTTTGCCTTCCGATATGTGACCACAATTTTAGATGATGCAAAAATTTATTCAAGCCATGCTAAGAAAGCCACTGTTGATGCAGATGATGTGCGATTGGCAATCCAGTGTCGTGCTGACCAGTCTTTTACCTCTCCTCCCCCAAGAGATTTTTTACTAGATATTGCAAGGCAAAGAAATCAAACCCCTTTGCCATTGATCAAGCCATATTCAGGCCCTAGATTGCCACCTGACAGGTACTGTTTGACTGCTCCAAACTATAGACTTAAGTCTTTACAAAAAAAGGCATCTACTTCTGCAGGAAGAATAACAGTTCCAAGGTTAAGTGTTGGTTCAGTTACTAGCAGACCAAGTACTCCTACACTTGGTACACCAACCCCACAAACCATGGCTGTTTCAACTAAAGTAGGGACTCCAATGTCCCTTACAGGGCAAAGGTTTACAGTGCAAATGCCTACTTCACAGGCCCCAGCTGTAAAGGCATCAATTCCTGCAACATCAGCAGTTCAAAATGTTCTTATTAATCCATCATTAATCGGTTCCAAAAACATTCTTATTACCACAAATATGGTATCATCACAAAATACTGCCAATGAATCATCAAATGCAATGAAAAGAAAACGTGAAGATGATGATGATGATGATGATGATGATGATGATGACTATGATAATTTGTAATCTAGCCTTGGTGCTTGTAATATGTATACTTGATCTTGAATCCATTGTATTGAGATTAAACATTGCATGCTGGATGTTTTTGAGTTCTGTTGTAGAAAACCTAAAAAGTAATAAGTAAATAGAGTTAATATACCTTTCAATTAAGATGTTGAATTTTCTTTCATAGGATTATTAATGGTTTTTCATCAGCCTTTAAGTGTAAAAAAATAAAAGTTTTCATTCATCAGTTTGACTTTTGGTACTTTGGCAGTTATGTTTTTAGAAGCAATTTTACCCTCATGACCAGTGGGACTAACAGTTACAACAACTGTTGTTTCTATTCATTAATGCTAGAATGTCAACTTTTTGTATCATCAGATGTTTAGAGGATAGTATGGTCTCTGGTGTATAGCTCACTGAAGTTCTGTTAGATTATTGATGTCTAACCACGTTAGACATCATGTTTGTAAAGACTTTAGACCTTTATATAGTGTATCCTTACATTTGAACTTTCCTCCTCAGTTGCCCAACTTTTATTAGATCCCACTCTTTTGATTGTTTTTAAGGATCCTTGATGTATCTCCTAGTGTCTCCTCACTTAAAAGTTAAAAAAAAAAAAATTTCCATTATCCTTTTTGCCAGGTCAATTTTGTGCATCTTTTTCATGTTCTTGATACTATAAACCAGTATCATGCTAATATTTTTAATTCAACTCTTGCATTTAATTTATAAATAATAAAGCTTATTATCATTCTCTGTTTTATGCCTTTATGAAATCTTTTTGTTCCTTGTTGAAGTTTACTTTCATGTTTTTGACAAATTTTCAGTCATCTGTTCTAATCTCTGCTATATACTCTATTGTAAATAGCACTGAGAGGAACAGTGACAACAGAACAGATGCATCTTCCTCTTCACTGGGCTCTCTCCCCTTGTCCTCACACCATTGTACACCCAACGTTCTCTGCACTTCCTTCATGATATGCTATGGAATCTAAGCCTGAGAGAAGTGAATTTTCTCTCAGATTAAAGGATTTCTGATCTCACCTGCCATGGTGTTATATGAGTGTTCTCAAAACATACCAAATTTTTTCCTTAGATGCCATTTGAATGTATCTAAAAAGTCTTACTTTTAAAAAAAGCTTCCTTTTTTCCAAATGGTGTTATATTTTAAGATAATCCATGCAATCATCTATGAAGGAACAGTTCTTGACTGAGGGTGAATTTGCTGACTGAACATTTGGTAGTTATAACTAGGGTGGGAATGGTAGAATCACTGCTAATAGAGGTGTGGGATTCTGTTGAATATCCTACAATTCAAATAGCTTTTACTCCATCTCCTTAGCAGCAGTGTTTGAACTGGTTAAGAAACTGCATAAATAGATATTTTTTTAATCCTGTTTTTAAATGTAGTGAATCTGTTGCCCTCTTAGTAATATTGAATTGCTGTATTTAAGAGATTACCTTTATGTCATTGGGACCCACAGCAGGAAAAATTAGCTGGATAATTAATACTACTAGTGAGCATCCTAAATGTGGTATGAATAGAATGCTTTTCTTATTCCTATTCCAGACTCTCAGATTCTTACTGACTTGATAATCCTTTCCCATGTAATCATTAACATTTAACAGAATTTGTGATTTTCATGCCACCTGTTTACCAGGCCATCCTTTGTTCCTAGCCTCAGGATATTCATAGGTATAAACAAAAGTAATGTCATTCTCACTGGATCCATTTCAAATAACTGGGCCCTTAGCACTGATTTTTTTTTTTTTTTTAAAGATTTATTTATTTATATAGAACCGGGGTACAGGCCAGAGATGCAGAGGTCGAGAGGATTCACCAGAGACAGAGTGGGGAGCAGAACAGGCAGATCGACGAAGTACACTGCTGAGGGGAGCAGCAGGCGGGCCAGGAGAGGTCTGCCACGCCATGTGGTCACCTCCGGGGCAGGCGGGAATCGAACTCATGCGGAAGCAGCTTTAGATTCTCAGTGCTGTGCTTTAACCCACTGCGCCACCAGGGAGGGAGCACTGATTTTGATGTGTTTTTAATCCAAGTGTTGGCAAAGTTGGAGCCTCTGGATAAAAAACAAGTCCATAGAGCCCAAAGTATTTCTGTCCCTTTATGAAAGTTTGCCATTCCCTGTCTAACCCCTGTATCTCCTATTTTCCATTTCTAAATCAGCTAAGTCTTAGAAATGAACTCCATTGGCCCTTTGGACATTTCTCCTCCAGTCGTATCTGCCCTCTCCTGTGACATACTACCACTCTCCTCAAGTGATTTCACTGAAGCCATCTTGTAATACTGTCCCTTCCTCCCCCCGCCCCCCCATCTCATTCAGAACTTAGATGATTTTTAAATGTGTAGTGAAAAGTTAACCCATTTGGTAACCATTTGGATAGTTGTCGGCAGCACCAAAAATAAAAAGCAGAAGGTCTAGAACAATCTGATTCTACTGGACTATTCCTTGATTTCACAACCTACCTTTGACCCTCACGCAGGTCAACTTTAAGTCTTAATGGTTTGCTAAAAAAAAAAAAAAGAAACCCTTTGGTAATACTGTTCCCCAACTCGTTGGTACTATGTCCCTATGGCACCCCATTTCATTGTCAACACCATGTTGAGCCTCCTCCTCTTACAAGTGTATTGCCTCCCTATTCTACACCATCATGTCCTTTAAAAACAGGACTTGAAATTTTACTGATAAATTCATCTTGCTTAGTGAGGTGTAGGAGATTATAAACTGCTCCAGTTTCCCTTCAGCCTTACAGGTAGCCACTCCATGTTTCCTTCAGTCTGTACATTGAGCACTATTGTTCCTTATACACAATGGGAATTTTCCACCCCCATGTCTTTATGCATGCTCTTCCCTTTACCTGTAAATGCCAGCTGTCCTTACCTTCCTTACCAACAATGCCTTAAAGTCATTTGCCCATGTTTGGTGCTCTTTAACTACTCTTAATTGCTCTCTTCTCCACAAAAAGACCAGCTGTCACAGCACTCAATCCTAAACCAATTAGCTTTTCATACTAATTGTAGAGATGTAAGTTATATGTCAGGTTAAAGTAAATGTTTCCGAAGAAAGAAATGTGAAAAAACATTTGTACTGGTGACAGCAAAATAAATAAATAGCTTCCCAATGCAATTAAGAACAGCTTTCACTTTAGTATATACAGTCAAGAATGGCCATCATGGTTTTTTATAGCTTGATTAACAACTGACGATCTTTTAAGGTAAGAGTTTACTTAATCTACCTCTTGCCCTACAACCAGTTTTTCTCTGCAAGTTATACATCTTTAATTAAATAATAATTTTAAAAAAGATTTTGTTTATGCATATAAGAACTGGGGTGTAGGCTAGAGATTTTGGGGGTGGGATGATGTACCAAAGAGTGGGGAGCAGAATAGGCAGACCTATCAAAATACTGGATGCTGTGGGTAAGGCAGGGAGGGCCACTGTGCCATGTGGGTTACCTCCCTGTTGGAATCGAATTGTTGTTGCAGTGGCTGGTGATAGCTTGATAGTGCTGAGACTTTATTTTTTTTTAAAAGATTGGTTTATGGGCCCTCCCTGGTGGCGCAGCGGGTTAAAGCACAGCACTGAGAATCTAAAGCCGCTTCCGCCCTGGAGGTGACCACATGGCGTGGCAGACCTCTCCTGACCCGCCCGCTGCTCCCCTCAGCAGTGTACTTTGTCGATCTGCCTGTTCTGTTCCCCACTCTGTCTCTGGTGAAGCCTCTCGCCACCCCTGAGCTTCTGGCCTTTACCCCAGTTCTGTATGTACAAATAAATAAATCTTTTTTTTAAAAAAAAAAAAGATTGGTTTGTTCATGTATAAAGAACTGGGGTACAAGCCTGAGGTGCAGGGGCGGTGAGAGGATTCACTAGAGACAGAGTGGGGAGCAGAATGGGCAGATCAACGAAATACACTGCTGAGAGGAGCAGTGGGCGGGCCAGAACAGGTCTGCCATGCTATGTGGGTCACCTCGGAGCAGGGACTGAATATGCACTGAAGTGGCTGAGGCTAGCTTACAGTGCGTGTCCTAACCCCCTAACCCGTTGAGCCACCAAGGAGGACCCTTATCTTGATTTTTAATGTCCATAGGTAACCTACATTTCAGTACTTTTTATTGAACAGAGATTTAACATTTTAAGTGCTTGAATTCTCTTATTTCTCAAGTGAATCATTCCTTACATACTATAAAAATTTCCTACTAATTAGCCTTGGAATTAAGAAATAGCTCTTTAATCCACCTTTAAAGTAAGGGTTTAGATTGTTCTGTAAATTTCTACAATAGTTTTCCCACAGCAAGACAGTTTAATTTTTTAAGCTGATAGTTTCTTGTAACTGAGCATAACTCAAAAGAAGCAGAGGTCACCTTGGCATGCTGAGAAATGGCTTGTGTTCAGAACCTGTTACAGACCTTCCAGGGAAGCCAAGGCTTCTGCTAACCCCAGGACCACCCTTCTGTCACTTTAGAACATGTATTCATTTAAACTATTTCAACTTATACCCAAATATTAAGAGGAGAAAAAAGTTGGGAATACTGTAGATGGTCTTAAATATGGCTAAGAGGATAATCTAAACCTGCCTTAGATTACATACCTCCTCTGGACTCCGGTGAGGGTAGACTTGGTATGTCTCACCTCGTGAAGTTACACTTTCTTTGAAAGTCAGTTGCGATTTGTTGGAAAGTTCTTGTCAGGGGCCCTCCCTGGTGGCTCAGTGGGTTAAAAGTGCACTATGAAGCTATCGGAAGCATAAGTTCGACCCCCAGCCAGGGAGCTGACCCACATGGCCTGGCAGACCTCTCCTGACTCGCCCTGCTGCTCTCCTCAGCAGTGTATTTCAGTACATACTCCTGCTCCCCACTTTCTCTGGTGAATTCTCTCAACCCCACCCCTGCACCTTTGACCTGTACCCCAGTTCTTGTATGCATAAAATAAGTAATTTTTTTTTAAAAAGGAAAGCTTGTCAGGCAGAAATAAGATGAGGACAGGAACAGAAGAACGTCCTTAATGGAAAGCATCACGTTAACATGCACACCTGCCGCCACTGTGGCTCTAAGTCAACCTGCAGCTATTCTGCCTGGCAGAAGAGAGAGTGTGATTGGAGAACCAAAGCTAAAAGTGAGATGCCCGTGGTAGTTATCAGATGAGGCACCTAAAAATTGTATACCATAGATTCAGGCATGGATTTCATGAAGGACCACCACCTAAATCCAAGAGGATAGCATCCAGTTTATCTTAGTAATTAGTGGTATCAGTAATTAGTAATTATCAGTAATTATCAGTAATTAGTGGTAAAAGCAATGTTCCAGTTTTTAAAAATAAAAAAGTTCTGGCCCTCTCTGGTGGCATAATGGGTTAAAGCACAATACTAAGAAGCTAGCAGCAGCAGCTTCAGCCCAAGTTCAATGGGGGGGAGAGTGTGTGTGTGACCCACATGGCGAGGCAGACCTCTCTTGTCTCGCCCTCTGCTCCCCTCCTAAATCTTAAAAAAGAAAAAAGAACTTATTTAGATGTAATTTATCTTCTTGATAACTCATCCCTTCAATCTTATATTGCCTCCTGAAATAAGACAATTACTGACTTTTTGAGACTCAAAATCTAAGAGCAAAGATAATGTTTGAGGGCCCTCCCTGGTGGCACAGTGGGTTAAAGCACAGCACTGAGAAACTGAGGCCACTTCAGCATGAGTTCAATTCCAGCCCTCCCCAGAGTTGACCACATGGTGTGGCAGACATCTCCTGGCCAGCCTGCTGCTCTTCTCAGCGGTGTACTTCATCAGTCTGCCTGTTCTGCTCCCCACTCTGTCTCCGGTGAATCCTCTCACTGCCCCTGCACCTATGGCCTGTACCCTGGCTCTGTATGGATAAAAAAGTGAAAATCTTTAGGGAAAAAAAATAATGTTTGAGAGCATCTGGGTACTGACACACTTTCCTGAAACCCAATGAAATTACAGATTTTCTGCAATCAAAAGAATGGATTGGGTAGTGGGTTGCTTTTAATACATTTCATGTCCTTGGCCAAATGAATATGGAATTTGTTGTTAACATATGTTTATATGTATCCACATGTCCCCACTTCCCACCAATCTGTAGCTGGGTAAAAATAATGCAGTCCTCTTTGCATTCTGAAGATTCTTACAGTGGCTATTCTCAGTTTTTTTAGTTGGTTTCAATCTTGATATTTAAAATGGTTTTAGATATATTGGTACTTAAGTGTCCCTACACAAAATTCGAATTTGTCAGTATTGTTCTTTATGTTTGATATCCATGTGACATCCGTTGTGTTAATGCCTGCCCTTGTTTCGAAAATGGTAATTAATGATATATATTTCCTTTTCTAAAATCTAGAATTAATTAAAAAATTACTTAGAAAAGATCACCTTAACAAGCTGATGTAAATCTCTTTTAGGACATTTGTATGATGGCTATGACGAAGAGTATGATTGTCCCATTTTAGATGAAGATAGAGTAAGTATAATTTCTTTTTTAAGTGTACTATTTTTATTTAATGGAAAAGTTGACCTCAGTGTTTTTTAAGGAAAATTTATTGTTTTAACTCTTTTAATAGGTAATTGATGAGTTAGAAAACCAAATGAGAGAAGGCGGAGTTATTGTTGATTACCATGGCTGTGATTTCTTCCCAGAACGCTGGTTCCATATAGTTTTTGTGCTGAAAACAGATAATGGTGTGTTGTACAAAAGGCTTGAAAAAAGGTAAGAAAGGAAATACACCAAATTCTTAAAAATTTAATATAAACTTATGCTCATAAACTTATGCCCAATCTGCCAACCAAGTTTGATCTCTCATTATAAACCAAGTCTGAAACCAACATTCTCGATCTAAGAGAAAAAGATGCATTTGTAACAACAAAGGCAGTGATAAATCAGCATTTCACAGTGTGTAAAGTGTGTTTTAGTTCTTTTAAGAGAACATCATAAATTCAGAATAACCAGAACAGATACATTTTTGTGGAATACATTCTTCCCGTCGTTTGATTCAAACTGTGGGAAGATGGGGATTCTAAAGTAATTTTTAGGGTAATCTCAGGAGAGAAAGTTCTGGAATTCTGTCTAATGTCAGCTTCAGTCTGATTTCTCCAGTTAAAGAGATTGCAATAAGTATTTTTGCATAAATGTTCACTTTCAAATATTCCTTATATATTCCTAAAACCAGTTAGTTTCGTTCAATTTACTTTTTGTTAGCTTATATTTCCTTTGCCTTCTAGGGGTTATAATGAGAAGAAACTAAAAGACAATATTCAGTGTGAAATTTTTCAAGTTCTTTATGAAGAAGCGATAACATCCTACAAGGAGGAAATAGTGCATCAGCTGCCCAGCAATAAACCAGAAGATCTAGAGGATAATATTAATCAGATATTGAAGTGGATTGAGCAGTGGGTCAAAGATCATAGCTCTTGACTTACAAGACCGACCACTTTATAATTAGTCTTGACCTCTCTGCACTCACATCACAGGATCAGTAAATCATTTTTATTAAAGTTGTGCTGCAGGGTTAGTAGATGGATACTATAACAGTTTATGTTTGAGGTTTTTTTAATGTCCATGAGAAAGCTAAACCACCTCTAGAATAATGTATGTAATATTAAGAATTGAAAGTAAAGACTCATTTAATATTTAAGTTGCTGAAGGTAGATAAATCTGACCAAATGACTGGATAACTTTTAAGTTTATATAGAAGAAAAGTGATAATGTCTTAAAATAAAACTGGTTAAAATAAAGCATCAGTTTTCCATTTGTATTTCTTTTAAACTAAAAAAAAAAAAAAGTTGGGTTACTACTTGCATTCTCTATAAAATTCAAAAGGTTATTCTGAAAAAGTAGGTTTCCCTCCAGGTCACCCCTGTTCTTTAGCCACCCTAGATCCCCTCCTTTTAGGAAATAATGTTACTGGTCATGGGTTTCCTATGTATATTTTAAAAAGATTTTCTGCCTACAGAGAGAGTGTGCACTTATTTTTTAACAGCACATATTTTGAAGATGATTGCGTCTTTTTATTGAAAAAGTTACAGATGTTACTGAGAATCAACATGTATATATGCTACATAAACTTTAAGTGAAGACAAATTTTGGTTGGCAAAACTACTGAATATGCTTATCATACTAAAAGACAGCAGACAAACTGATTTTAAAGTCGTAAGTATGTCTATCTTTTGCTGATCTTAAATTCCACTGTACATACTCCATTGATCCAGCTGTATAGTCTGGAGTAATGTTAGAGCCTCAATTCTGTGTCTGGTTTTGCATACATCTAGGATCTGGAGAACAGACTCACAGAAGTGTAGTCTTTTAAGGAAAAGAGTCGATAATTTAAATCAGAGTAATGTTTAGATTCAGTCAAGTTTTTTGACCTCTACAACGCCCCTTCAGTTTTTTCAAGGATGTCAGGATGGATTAGCAAGCCATACCGAAATCATTTCACTAAGGTGATAAACCAGTGACCCTACACTTTTTTTGGGGGGGGGGAGGGGGGAGAAGTAGGGCCAACGTGTAATACACAGGAATAGCTGGTCCCCAATAGCAGGTCATTCCCGCTGGCTCTTGCTCACTGTTACCTTGGCACCCCGCATTCCTTTGGTCTACAGTACCCACTCATCTCCTAGCACAGCAACCTGTTATCTCACGGTATGCTTCCACCTCCTAACTTCAGCTCGAATTGTTTCTTTTCGGGGTTTCCTCAGGACCTGACCTTTGCATCACCTAACTTTACCTTTATCGACGCAGGAGAGACCTTGTTCAGTTTTCCTAAATCTCGGGCTACTAATTCTAATCTGGCTGCCCGTGGTGGGAAAGCCTTGCTCCCGGGCCGGGGCAGAGCCACAGCCGCGTAGCCTGACCGGAGCACGGGCGTCGCCGGTACCTTTCCGGGCGCGGTCACGTGGCCGCCGGCGGCGCGCACGACGTGGAGGCTCCGCAACCGGTGAGCGCGCTGATGGGGGCCGGGGTGAGGGCGAGGGTCGACGGTGCTGCCCCGCGAACCTTAGTCGCAGATCCCAGAAGCCGGGAGGGTGCGGGGCCCTTCTGGAAAGTGGGAACGCTAGTGGGGAGACGCGAAGGAGCCAGTAGATCGTGGAAGCTCGGCGGGTTGTGAGCAAGCTGGCAAACTTGCTTCTTTCCCCCTTGCGCTAGGTTCCTGGCCTCCTCTGACACTGAAAAATAAGGAATAGGTTTGAAAGACTGTTTCTGCCTCCCTCACTGTCACCGTCCTCCTTTGTTTTATTTTAATTTTCCAGTAACTTTGAACCTTGAAACAACAGTGCACTAAATGCAAGTAGTACCCCGGATTGGATCCTGTAGCAGAAAAAAGACAACAGTAGAAACACGGGAAATCCTATAAAACCTGTGATTTATTAATTGCTTGTATCAAAGCCAATGTATTAATTTTGATAAATGAATCCTGATATTAATATTAGAGGGATCTGGATAAGGAGTATGCAGGAGGCGTCTCTTCTGTCTTTGCAACTTACTGAAACAAAATCCAGTAACGCTGTACAGATCTGGGAGGTGGGAACCGCAAATGATTTCTTCCTGCTCAGCCAAGCCTGACAGGAACTGGGTGTCTGTTTGACCAATTTGTTTGCTAACGCAGAGAAGCTGATAGGTGTTGATGCCCCAAGTTTTCCCGGCAGGAATCTGTTTTCTCTTTCGAGTCAATCATATGTCTTTGGAACATCTGTTTACACACACTTATTCCCTGTTTTAGGGGTGTGTGAAAGAAACACCCAGCAGGAAGTATACTAGAACTATTAAAAAGTACAATACAGAGCTAGGGAGATTTAGTTGAGATAGATCACATCTGGCTCTGCAGAGGCGGGAAGGTTACTGAGAGAGTGGCTGTCTTATCTGAAAGGACCCTAAGAGAAAACATTCCTGGGGTGGGGGCACCAGCGGAGGTTGGAAATGAGGAAGGTGAGGGGTCCTAGGAGCAGGTGCATTTCCTCTTACCAGAAGCACACAGCATGCCCTGGGAGTACTGGGTGTGGAAAGAGGAAGAGAAAACTGTTGTAGAAAACTGTTGTAGAAAACAGGGTGACACTTTAATGACAACTGGCTTGGAAAACAATCCCAGGGGATTGTTTCAGGGCAAGAGAGGGAAATCTTTGGACCTGCACTTGGAAATGAGTGATTTGGCAGCTGTGTGTTGGATGGCTTGGAATCAGTGAGTTGGGGGCCCTATTAGTTTAGCCCAGGAGAGAGAATGAAAAATTCAGCCACGGCTGTGCAAAGAACAGGGTTTGGGGAGATTGTGTGGCCCTAGAAGACTTGGCTATTGAAGAGAAAACAAATTCTGAAATTTTGGAGCTGGGTTTGGGAGCATGGTTGATGCATATGCAGAAATAGAGGACTCAGGAGACCTAGGCTAGGCGGTAGGGAGGGTAATGGATTTGTTTTCAAGTAAGTTCTGTTTGAACTGCTGGCAAGATATGCAGCTGAAGACTGTATTTAAGAGTCTGTTTTGAGTGGAACCCAAACATGTACAGAGGGACAGGAAGAGGAAAAGGAGACTAAGTGGGTAGCTATGAGACCACTGTGAGGTGGGGGAGCTGGGGAGATCCGGCCTGAGTGTGCGAAGTCAGTGTCTCTGCTTATGCAGTGGAGGAAGTTGAGGGACCAGACTAGATCGTGGATTTAGCAACTAGGGAGTTACTAATTACTTTCTTAAAAAGTTGTATTAGTGCCAAAGTAGGAAGATTGCTCAGTGTGCCATCTCTTCATCCTTTGACCTTTCCCAAGAGTATGGGCAAAGTGCCAGAGCCAGTTTCTTGTTCTGACTCTTCGACTATCCATGTAATTTGGGACAAATCATCTCTGCCTGGACTAGCAGAGGAAAAACATTTCTTAATAAAACCAAAGGACTCTCTTGTACCTAGCAACCCCTCGCAGTCCATAGAGCTAGCATTCCAGAGGGTACACTTTAGAAAATGCTGCTACAGAACCAGAAAAAAATCTTACTTCAACTTGTCATTGATATATAATGAAATCTATACTCAAACTCTAATTCAGTAAGCATTAATTTCAAATACATTTTATGGAAGGTGTAATAATAACCCTATAAAGTTGTGCTTACACCCATTTTGAAGATTTGAAGACAGGTTCTGACAAGTTATATGATTTGCCCAGGATCACACAGAGCAGCAAGTCGTGGAGTGAGATCCCAGCCCAGAGCTCCTGAATGCCCCTCACTCTCTGCTCCTTGCTTGTCCAGATTGATGCATTAAAATTGACTGGATGGAAAATAAGTAATTTCAATTATTTTCCTTTTTCTAGAAGTAATGTGTTCCAAGAATCAAGTCTAGTTTGTACTGCATCCTATGTTAATATTACTATTAGTAGTCAAAAAGGAGCAGAATACACAGCCAGCAGTTTTCGAACATTTTAATAAACAATAGGACATTGGACCCTGTGAAAGCTTATTATATTCAACTTTGAACAGCAGAAAGACATAGCCCTGACCCCCAATAGAGGTGGCCTGTTAAAAAGTAAAAAGTATTCTGAAGTAATCCCACTGTTGCTTTCTCCTTCCTCTTACTGCTTATTTGCCTTTGTGTTGACCAGTTCCCATTTTCTTCACTGCTGGCTGCCAAACCCCACCACAGCCTCCTTGTGAGATTGTATTTATCAACAGCAATCTACTACACCAGAGGGGAAACACAGCCTCTAAGAGACTACTCCTCGATTCAGTACATAATCTCCTGTTTACCTGGAAAATAGAAATTGACAAACTTACTTAGGAAATAACTTTGTAAGAGAACAAAGCTGATTTTATAAATATTTGGGGGGGGGGAACTGGGTCCAAAAGATGATGCTGAATGTTGCTAAAACTAGATTTTAAACCTTTATGTTCAGTTCTATGTGATGTCATAAATGATAGCAACTTGGCTGACTCTTAACATTTATTTTATTGAATTTCCCAAGTTATGGAAAGCAGTTGCTGAGGTGTGGCAGTGGCTCTGATGTCAGGGCTGCGGATTCAGAATCTGACTCTTGTTAACTATGTTACTCAGTCTCTGTGTGCTTCATTTTAATTGTCGATACTTAAACATTAATAGTTTGGCCTTGCAAAGTGTTGGTGAAGATTAATAGAACCATTTAAGTAAAGCACTTGAAAGGCACCCTGCACATGGAAAGCAAGCAACAAGCACAGGCTATTACAGCACTAAAAAAATTGTTATTGATATGAGGGGTCCAGGTTAACCATTTTCTTGTCTAGCAAGCCTAACTGAATAACATACTTCCTATCTTGTTCCCTAGCCCAATTAAAGGACCTGTTTTTTTCTGTTAAAAAAAAATTTCTTTTACATCATATTAATGAGTGCTCGCTTTGCCAGGAAGTTTCTAAAACTGGAATGATACAGAGGTTTCTTAGCATGGCCCCTGAGCAAGGGTGAGAGGCAAATGCATGTAGTGTTCCATATTGCAAAAATATGTAACAAACACACACACATAAATTCCCCCATCATATTAATTAAGTGTAGTTTACATATAAAAATGCAGCCATTGCAAATATATAGTTTGATGAGTTTTGTCAAATCTTCATTATACTCAAGATACAAGACTTTTCCATTAACCCAGAAAAGTTCACACATGCTCTTTGAGTCACCCTTCCCAGCACCCTTACCCATTAATCTGTTTTCTGTCATGTACATGGGTTTTACTAGGATTTCATACCATACATGGTTCTTCCATAATATCTATGAGATGCATCCACATCCACATATATCAGAAATCCATTACTTATTACTGGATGTATTCCGCTGTATGAAAGTACCACAATTTGTCTTTTTTTGGTTGATGAACATTTGGGTTGTTTCCAGTTTAGGGCTAATTTGAATAATGTTATGAATATTTACGTTCACATCTTTGTGTGAACATATAATTTCATTTCTCTTAGGTTAATATCTCAAATTCAGTTGCTGGATCACATGCTTAAAATCTTCCCACAATCTTTCCACAAAGGTGTGCTAATTCTGCACCCACGTGTGGTATAAATGGATGTCCAAATGCGTGTGGACTGTGGTAGAAGCTCACTGTAGTTTATGTCTACAATTATTTGCTGACTAGTGTTTAGCATCTTTCTATCCATGTATCTTCTTTTATGATGTTAGGATGCATTTCTTCAAGTCTCTTAAGGGCCCTCTCTTCCAACCCTGAAAATACATTCATCCTAAAACAACAGAAAACCCTTCACAATGATCAAATTTGTTTGATACGACAAATACGAGTGGAAGGATTTTTGAAAGTCCTGGTAACAACTACTTAAACAGGATATTTAGAAAAGAGATGTCAAGTGCATTTAATTTCCTTTTTGTAAAAAAAAAAAAAAAGGTGTCTTGAGAAAAGGATGAAATGTTTCTAAACTACTGCTGTTTTGAAATGCCTGGTGGGGAAAGCCCTCTTTACTGTGCTCTGTGCTCGAGGCACAGGGCAGAGCATTTCAGGGGCGTCCTGGCCACTGGAGGAGCCTTGGCGGTAGGTAGGTGCCTCTGCCGCTTGCCACACGGGAGGGCCTGGTGGCTGCAATTCTCTTTGGGTCATGGGTACCTGGAGATACTTTCTTCGGGGAAGAAAGGCAGGCAGTTAGCTCCACGTCATTGAGTTTGGAGACTTGCTCAGGTGACTGTCTTGCTTTTCTTCCTAGAGGGCAAACATTTCAGTTAGCTTATGCCTTCCTTCCTTTATTCTACTATTAAACACATGTTTATTGAGCACCACATATGTCTGGAATACTCTTTTAGGCCCTGGGAATGCAGGGGTGAAACGAACAGACAGAGCTCCTGCCCCTAGGTTTCCTGCATTCCACTTGGAGCCACTTAGAGCAGGTTGAGCTGCTCTGGCTGAGGAACAACCTTCTGCTGCACTAGACTCCACTTTTGCACTGCCTTTAGTAATGCGATTTGAGGAATGCGTAAAATATGGTGGAGTATGTTAAAAGGCTACCAATTCCTAGGGAAAAAAAAAAAAAAACAAAACAAGCAGAGATGTGGGGTAGGGAAGAATTTGCAATTCTAGTTGGGGCGTCAAGAAAGGCCCCACTGAGAAGGCGACATTGAAGGAAAGATCCAGAGGTTGAAGAACCAGGTGGGCAAGTGTCTAGGCAAGTGCATTCCCCGCAGAGAGAACGTGGAGTTCAGGGGCACTAAGTGTCCCAGAGACCAGGGCGGTGGGCCTAGGCCAGGGGCACAGGTAGAGCTGGGCCTGGGACCCTGGCCCATTGAAAGGGCTTTGGTTCTTACTAGGTTTGTGATGCCAAACAGGAGTGAGTTTTGAACACAGGCTTGATTACATGATTTGAGAAAGGGAGGAGGCACCTCCTCCCTTCCTTTCATTAACCCAAACACAAAACTTCTGACAATCATGTCTGTACAGAAAGAGCAAATGAACCCAGAGACACTGGAGGAGACGCATGAGAGCCCTGGCCGCGAAGGGAAGGGCTGTGGTGGGAGGCGTAGGCTTAGTGGAAGCATGGAGTTTGGTCTTTCAGAGATGTTTTGGAATTGTATATTGCTCTTAGGCTTGTGAAAAACAGATCCTTTTCCTTTATAAGCATGCAAATCGAGAGAGCTCTGTTTCCTAGGCAAAGAAAGATCTGATCTGCTTTTCCTGATCACTAGATTACCAGACTCAGTGACAGCCTTTTTCTGCTTCCTTACAATTCATTGCCATCTTTGAACTAAGAGGTTGGGTCACTTCTTATCCAAAAGGGCCTGATATGTGAGCTCCTTTTTTGCATGGGGCCCCCGTGTGTCAGTGCATGCTGGGATAGCAACGCCCGCAACATTGAATACAGAGAAGAACTTTTCTTCCTGGGAAAACCCAATTTTATCATGCCGATGGCTTTTCACTACCATTTTTCTTTACTACAGATAACCCGTTTTCCTTATGGTAAAGACGGCGCCTGGCTGATGAGCAGAGCGGTGAGGACAGCGAGTGAGGCAGAGGCGCAGAGCTGGGGCGCAGAGGATGATGACATGGCAGACGGCGATTTAGGGTATGGCCTTGGAAGAAGGCCTGGTGGTATTTATGAAGTACAAGTTTCACATTTATTGAAGTCTAGAAGAAGATCAGATGGAAAGAACTTTAGTCCTCCCCCACTTCCAGGAAAGGAGGAAGGGAGAAGTGATGCCATTTTTCAGTACCCCAAGCCTCGGAGCCTGCAAGACACATACCCTGAATCATCCAGAATTTCTCTGTGCAGCCGACAAAGTAGCATTGGTAAGACTGTCCAGTGTTTTCTCTCCCCTGAATTTTATATCAGTGTTGTCATTCTCCTGACACATGGAAAGAATCACCATAGTGAATTTTAGAAAGCCATCTTTACTCACCTCTTGGGGTTGGTGAGAGTACAAGAGTAATCTGTGTTTCTATTTCCAAGTATTGTACAAACTGTGAAGTGCCTGTTACTCCGCATTAATACGTGTGTTAGTGATCTCAGTCGTGATTACCTGCCTTTCTTAGGTGATGTTTCATTCACCCTCCCCTCCTTTTGCCTTCCTTTTGTCTTTTTATTGAGGTAATATTAGTTTACAACACTATAGTTGCCAGATATACAATTTCTCACCTCATCTTTTTTTTTTTTTTCTTATTAGCAAATATTTAGTGGGTGCCTTTTAAGTGTCTGGGACTGGTCTAGGGTCTAACAAACACCAGTGAATAAAACAGTCCTGTTGTCATGGAGTTCACATGATAGTAGAGGAGACAGACAGTAAAGTAACTACACATCTCTAATAGCAAGTAAATGAAGGTATCGGGATTGACTGGAGTGGCTGGGGCACTGCTCTGCTGAGGCCTGGGTCAAGGGCCACCTCTGTGGGGAGTGACATTCAAATCCCAGAATGAATACAGGAGCCAGCCTGGTGCTTTCCTGGGGAAGGACTGTTTCATGTAGAACGCATTTGCCTTCAGTGATTCTAGGCAAAGAATGAAATTATCAAAACAGAACTAATTTTACTGTAAGATTAATTGTATGTGCTTATCATAACCAAGGCCATTTTTATAGCATACTTAAGGAGAGAACCAGATTCAGAAGCACACTGTGATGGAATGTTCCGACTCCATAATGATGGGGACCCAAGCTTCCACTCAGGGCTCTCGTGTGTCTCCTCCAGTGCCACGGCCACTTGCTATTTCTATGCAGACACAATTGGCAGAGCTTTTGCGATTAGGTGGTGATAGAGAGGCAGGGAGGAGGCACCTCCCCACTCTCTTTCCCAAGTCACTTATACACATCCTGGGTGGCTGGTTTTTTTGTAGCTCACCTTGTAAAATCTTCCCATAAAAATGCAATAAACACAAGTTATAACAACAGGATATTAATTTTAGAAACATGATTTCAGATTTACAAAAAAAAAATGGTTTCAGGTTTACAAAAGCCATGTTGCACTGCAAATATATCCCCTCTTCAAAATCCTCCTTGAAATTACAATGGGATTTTTAAATTTTTCCTTCTAATTCCTTATCATGCATGGAAGATGGATACTGTTTTGTAAGCAAGATGTCAAAAAATTTACATGGTGCTTATTTAATATACCTTTTTAAACCCACAAGGAAAACTGCTAGTGTATAAATAAGACATAATGGTAACAAGTGTGTGCTCCTGATTTTTTAGGTTAGGGACTCTTGTCTTCATCAATGTTGGCCTGATCCTTGATAAGATACTGTGTTAGTTTCCTATTGCAAGTGGGGATTTTCCAGATGACCACAAATTTAATGCCCTAAAACAACTCAAACGTATTATAATTCAGAGTTCAAACTACCAAAACTGGATTCACTGCACTAAAATCAAGGTGTTGGTAAGGCACATTCCTCCTTGAGCTTCTGTGGAGAATCAACCTCTGACCCTTGCCAGCCTCTTGAGGTGAGCGAGCACTGGGCCCCTTCCGCTTGTCTTTCAAGACCGCAGTGTTTGATCCAGTCTTTCGTGAGACTCTGCTCTCTGCCGCTGGCTCTCAGGCCTCCCCCTGTCATGTATGTGTAAGGATGAACCCACCTGGTTAATCTCCTCTTTAAACATTCTTAATTTAACCCACCAAATCCCTTTTGCCATGTATTCATGGGCTTTGGGGATTACGGTGTGAACCTTGTGGGGGGCCATCACCTGCCTACCACGGCTGTGAACAGGACAGAAATTGTCATGGCCAGTCTGACTCACTGTCTTTTTGGGAGCCTTCTCTCATCAGCATGAAAATGTGATTTAGGTTTGTCTTGAATTTTCATATTGATGAAAATTCACAATAGCAAATGGAGAAGAGTATAATATTCCTCAAAATATTCTTTCTAGAAATTTCCTTCTTTTATTTCTTATCCTCTTATTTGTAGTTTACAACTTGGCTGCTTTTTTTGTGGCCAGTGAGACCACAATGAAAATGAAACTCCTGGTAATTTCAGTATAATGTCTCAAGCGATAACTGTAATGAGACTCAGTGTAGCAACAGAGGCTGTTAGTCATTCTTCTTGGAAAGAACTCATGTTATTTTTTATATATTCATCTCATTCTGTAGATCAAACTTAAGCCAAACACCAGAACTTACTTATTTTATTCACCAGCATTCACATGTTTTAATATTCTGTTTGGATATGGTCATTAATAATTTCATTAACATCAGTTTTAAAGTCATTTTTGGGGAGACTTTCTATTCAAAAGTGTGTTTTTTCATTTATAAAATGTTTAAGTTACTGATTTTTATCATTATTTGCTTTGTTGCAGTTATATTCTCTTTGCAACTTAGGAGAAATCTGTATAAACAAATGTCCTGTATTTTAAGAAAGTATTCAATTTTTTTTAATAGATTCCAGTTCAGAATTGTCAAATGTAGAATTAAAGCAACATCTTCACGAAACTTTAGAGGTAGGTATTTTGGCTAAAAATTCTCATGTTAGTAAAGCTTACTGATAGATATTTTGCTTGAGTAATACTAAAACTGTATAGAAGGCAAACACTGGCTTTCCAGTTTTTCTCAGTGAGCCACAATCTAAATCTCCATCTTTCAACTGATCTGCTTCTTCTCTCTAAAATCCATAGCCTGGCTTTTAAAATTTTCCATCTACCTTTCCTGTATGAGTGGTTTGAAATGACTGGATTTAACTTAATTTCTTTGAAGTCAGAAGACTAGTGAGTAACCAGGGTCTCCAAGAAGCTGTTCTCCTGCTGGGTTAGGATTTTCTGTGAGGGATGCCTATCCTTTGGGAAACTGGAAGCCCGTCTGAGTGTGACTCATCTGGTGAACACTAATCAGTTGTCATCTAATATGGCTGCAATAAAATACACCGACAAGCATCTTAAAACAGCATACATTCTCGTCTAAAAGTCTGAACCAGGTGTCAGTGAGTCACGTGTCCTTGGGAGGGTATAGAGGGGATCCCTTCTTTGCCTCTTCCATCTTCTGGAGTTTGCTTCTGACAATCTTTGGCTTTCCTCAGTGTGTGGCTGCCTTGTCCAGTTTCCTGCCTCCAGTACCACATGGTCTTCTCCCCTGTGTGTCTGTGCAAATTTCCCTTGGCTAATGAGGACACCAGTCATTGGATTGTCATCTACCCTAATTCTAGTATAACCTGTTTTTGGTTTTGTTTTTGTTTTTTTGAAGATTTATCCATCTATGCATACAGAACTGGGGTACAGGCCAGAGGTGCAGTTTGGGACGGGTGAGAGGATTCACCAGAGATGGAGTGGGGAGCAGAACAGGCAAATGTACTGAAGTACACTGCTGAGGGGAGCTGTGGGTAGGTCAGGAGAGGTCTGCCACACCATGTGGGTCACCTCCTTGGCCGGGGATAGAACTCATGCTGTAGTGACTGCGGTAGCTTCATAGTGCTGTGCTTTAACCTACTGCGCCACCAGGGAGGGCCCCAGTTTAACCTCTTCTTAACTTGATTATCTCTGCAAAGATCCTGTTTCCACTTAAGGTCACATTCACAGTACCAGGGGTTAACAACACTTGAACATAGCTTTTGGGGGGCATAACTCAAGCCCCATTAGGTACTGTAGCTGTATGAATGACTGTGTGTTTATTTTACATGACCTAATATTTTCTTTTCAAAGAAATTAAGTATATAGCCTACAGAAAAGTGAGCAAAAGACTTGAGTTTTTTTGTCACACCTGGCACTTGATATTTTAGGCTCACAATGTTAACCTGTTTGTTCCACATCTATAGGAGTTTCTGATCACACTGTAAAGTCAAAGAGCTTTGAGTCAAAGTGCATGTTGAGTTTAAATACAGACTATCCAGACTGATCATTTTGGGTTCCATTTTGGGTTAAAAATAGGAAGACTAATATTATTTCTGTCCTCAGGAGGTAGAAGTTTTAAAAACAGAACTTGAGGCAGTTCAAAGACAACTTGAAGGTAAAGAGGAAGCACTGAAAATTCTTCAAAGTATGGTAAGAAAATACTTCCAAGTATTTTAAGTTTCCACCACTTACACATTTCAGGGTGTTTTAAAAGGTAATGATTTTAACTTTTAAAACAAAAGCAGCAGCAAAAGGCAGAGGCTTCCAGTGGATTGTGGTATAGCATGTTATTGACCCATTGGTGGTGAATGTGTATGATAATATATACCCGAAGAGCTGGGAACCTGTACTCTTGAAACCACCTATGGAGTTGTAAGCCAGTGTTACTTCATAGAAAAAAAAAGAAAAAAGAAACAGCAGCAGCTCCTAATATAATGGCACATTGTTTTTCAGGTACATTTTTTTTAAAGGTTTATTTATTTATTCATACAGAGCTGGGATACAGGCAAGAGGTGCAGGGGCAGTGAGAGAATTCATCAGAGACAGAGTGGGGAGCAGAATAGGCCGACTGACAAAGTACACTGCTGAGGGGAGCAGCGGGCGGGTGAGGAGGGGTCTGCTGCACCATGTGGTCACCTCCAGGGCCGGGATTGAACTCATGCTGAAGTGGCTTTAGCTTTTCAGTGCTGTGCTTTTAACCCGCTGTGCCACCAGGGAGGGCCACATATTTGTTTTTTACATTTTTATTAGATGTAATTTACATGCCATGAATTTCACTTATTTGATGCATAAAATTCATTTTTATGAAACATAGCTGGCATGTTTTTGAGGCTCATGCATGCAGTAACATCTTTTTTATTGCCAAATAACAGTCCATTATATGGCTATATCACTTTTGTTGATCCATTCAACCACTTGGTAGGTATTTGGCTATTATAAATAATAATGATAGGAACATTCCCGTACACATTGTTGTTTGGAAAATCCATCTATTCCGTCTCACATTTGTTGGAAAAGAGCCAAACTAAGATCTTCTGACTTTTAAGCTGTCAAACTCTCCAAAAACAGTGTTCTCTGGGGAAATTCTCATCTTAAGTTAATTTTGTTGTTTTAAATTAAAAAATGTGAAGTTCAATCATATGGCAGTGGTTAGAAATCTAATTTATACTGACGTGATTTTTATCTTCCTTAGGCAGTATTTGAAAAGGCCACAAGTCATACCCAGGTAGTGCTTCAAAAAACTGTGGAACAAAAGAAATCCCTGGAGAAGGTATTTGACACTGTTATGCTGACTTATTCAATCTGATAAGCCTTGGAATAGAACTTCTTAAAAAACCGCGCTACTTAAAAAAACCGCGCTACTAACGGACATGCCACTTGTATACACTTCTGCTAGGTGTGCATCAACTTCATATGGACTCTCGCTTTTAATTTAATCGAAAACAGATTGTCATGTGGGCAAAGAATTCAGGCTTTTGTTTCCTCATTTTAAGATCGTAGGAGGCTGCCAAGTTGACATTTCCCAGTTTTTTTCTTTTAAAGATTTACTTATGCATAGAAAAACTTGGCGTATAGGCCAGAGGTGTGTGTGTGATGGGGTTGGGGTGGGGAGGGAGGGTGAAAGGATTCATCAGAGACAGAGTTGGGGGAGAACACGCTGATCTCTGGAAATACATTGCTGAGGGGAGCAGCAGCCCAGATAGGAGACATTTGTCGTGCCATGGGGGCCCTGGTCGGGGATCAAACTCATGCAGTGGCTGGCCAAAGCTTGATAGTGCTGAGATCTTAAGCCCTGCTCCACCAGGGAGGCCCATTCTTCATTTCCCCTCCCCTCTGGCTGGCAGAGCCTGCTCCTTTCCCATTATCTCATCTTCATGAAAAAGGTAACTAGGACACACCTGAGCTTGTTAGGCATCTGTGTCTTTGCAGCCTGTCTTGACAGGAGGGTCCTGGGCTCAGACTTACTGGAGTATATTCTGCCTGGAGGTCTGCAGGGGTTGGCAGCAATGAGAAATCTAACTCAGACCAGCAAATTTGAAGTTTAATAATATAAACTTTTTCTATATTAGGTACTCCTCAGCAAAGCTCTTTTAGTGCCAAACAGACATGTTATATGTGTTTATGTATGTAGACGCTGAGAAAGTTTTTTCCTCTTTAACCTATTTCTTTATAGTGCTTAAATGAGTTATTCTGGTTACTCAAGTTCTGAAATAACTTATTTATAATAATTTTTTCATAAGTGCTCTTTTATTTCTTCAGGAAATAAATACCTTGCAGTGGAAAATAGAATTTGATCAGAATAGATTTAAAAATATAGAGGAATCTTGGACCCAAAAATATGACAGGTTTGTGTATTATTATTCTATAACTTTTCTTTGGAAGTCTTTAAAATGTGTATCATTCAGATGTAGCTTATATTTTCTTCTAAGGCTAACCTCAATTCTTATTCTTACTGATTATTTACTTTTCAGTCCCACATATTTTTGTTAGTATTTAAAAAATATGTAGTATTAACTCTATTTTCAAATACATGGAAGTTACTTTAGCACTGGTACTTTTTCTTCAAATCTTCTGGGTGATTTCTAAATTAGTGTTAGTTTATTTAATAATTTTAAATTATATACTTAAAAAAAGAGAGATTTATTTATTGATGCATACAAGAACTGGGATATGGGATACAGGCCAGAGGTCCAGGGGGTGAGACGATTCACCAGTGACAGAGTGGGGAACAAAACAGATGGATTGACTAGAATACACTGCTGAGGGGAGCAGCAGGCAGGACAGGAGAGGTCTGCAATGCCATGTGGGTCACTTGTCTGGCCGGGGACTGAACTCATGTTACAGTTTAACCCATTGTGCCACCAGGAGGGCCAAATACATACACTTATTATAAAGTCAATCATTGAGAAGTTGATTGGATATCTAGGGTTGGAGATAATTTTTATATCCAATTTTTAAATTTATTATTTTTTAACTTTTTGAGATAGTTGAAGACAGAAAAGTGGCGAGACTCACTTCAAAGAAATACTGTATTTTTTTTTTTTTTAAGATTTATTTATTTCTGCATGCAGAACTGGGGTACAGGCCAGAGGCTCAGGGGCAAGAGGCTTCACCAGAGACAGAGCAGGGAGCAGAACAGGCAGATCTACGAAGTACACTGCTGAGGGGAGCAGCGGGCGGGTCAGGAGAGGTCTGCTACACCATGTGGTCACCTCTGAGGCAGGCGGGAATCAGGCGGAAGTGGCTTTAGCTTCTTAGTGCTGTGCTTTAATCCACTGCGCCACCAGGGGGGCCAAAATACTACATTTCATTAAGATTTTCCAAATATTTACACTTTACCACATTTGCTTTATTATTATTTTTCCTTTCTCACTGTCTTATGGTTAAGGAGGTTGCTATGAGCCAATATAATATTTTTCTAACGCATAACAGTAAGTTGCATCTATAAAGTCACATCAGTATAACTTCAGTTTGTATGTTTCCTTTTTTTAAAAAAAGGGACTTTCTCTTTTATAATTCTAGCATAATTATGAAAATCAATATTATTATTTGATCTATACACCTTATTTAGATTTGCCAGTATCCTAACTCCATATAGCAAAGAGAATACAAATTTCCCTTGTTCCAGAATCCACCCAGAATCACACTTATCATATCTAAACTCCAGTCTCCTTTAGTCTGAAGCAATTCTTCAGTGTTTGTCTTTTAAAGCCTTGACATCTTTTGAGGTCAATTATTTCATAGACTGTCCTACAATGGAAATGTTTGGTGTTTCTGGATTAAATTTGAGTTCAGTGTTTTTGGCAGGATATCAGGAGTAAAGTCATGTCGATTTGTTTCATTCCTAGGATGTGAATTTTAATCACTTTTTAGGGCATGAGGCCTGCCCTAATCCTCCACTGTAGTCATAATTTTCCTCTTCCATCTTGCTCTCTAAGGCCTCTTGTGGGGAGATACTTTGATATTATGTAAATATACAGAGACTTGCGAGATGGTCACCCATTTTTTTTTTTTCATCTACTGATTATTCTTTTTTTTTTTTTTTTAAAGATTTATTTATTTGTACATACAGAACTGGGGTACAGGCCAGAGGCTCAGGGGCGGTGAGAGGCTTTACCAGAGACAGAGTGGGGAGCAGAACAGGCAGATCAACGAAGTACACTGCTGAGAGGAGCAGCGGGCGGGTCAGGAGAGGTCTGCCACACCATGTGGTCACCTCCGGGGCAGGCGGGAATCAAACTCATGCGGAAGTGGCTTTAGCTTCTCAGTGCAGTGCTTTAACCCGCTGCGCCACCAAGGAGGGCCTCATCTACTGATTATTCTGTGTGAAGTGGTTATTACTGTGTTGGCTGCCAAGTGATAATTTTCGAACTCCATTATTCCTTCTATATTTATTTATTGGCATTTTACTATAAGAGCTTTTTATTTTCTCCTGTTTGTTTATATTAATAGAGATTCCTGCTTGCTTACATTATATAATGGATTAAAAATCATAACCAATTTCTTTTGATCTATAAAATTTTCCAATTTTGGTCAATGGGAATCCCATCAAGCTGGCTCCTGTGGCTTTTTGACATCTTCCCATTATTCTTTGAGCAGGTCTTGCTCTTTTGGTATATTTAGGTCATTGTGATACCAATGTTAGGTATTTCTTCAAGGAACCTGAGATCTGATTGAGGAATGGTGTTTAGAAATCAAAATCTGAGCAGTAGTATGTTCACTGATGCTGGTGAGTCACTACTAGACAGTTCTATGTGAGAGCAGAGCTGGAAGATACACTCCTCTCGATTTGTCACTTCACTGTTACTGTCAATAATCTGTCTTTACCTATCAATCTGTCAGCTATTTTTGACCTATCCACCTACTATCAAGCATCAATCTATTAAAAACCTTAGGAGTTCACACCCTTGTTGCTGATTCTGCACCGTGAGATTCATTTTAGTCTGGTTCCTTTGCACATGTGTAACTCCCACAGTTTAGAGAACTGATTCCTTTTATCCAGTACATTTACTTGTTTCTCCACCATAGAATATGCTGAATGTAGCTTTAGGATTACTGGTACATATTGTGGGAATCAAATTTACTAACTAGAGTTCAATATTCATGTATGGTTTTTTTTTTTTTTTTTTTTACCTGAGGGTATATAGTTGAAATACAGGGTTCAAAAGTTACTTTTTAATTTCTTTTTATTTCCATTATTTTATTTCCATCATTTAAATTCATTTGTTCCTGTTTAACTTTAGAACTTTCACCATTCTTTATGATTAGCTTATTTTTTACTTCCTAAAACAACGATGTTTCCAAAAGTCAAAACTAGTCAGGGAAGTATACTCAGGAAAGTGTTCTCCTTCCTCCCCTCCATTGGTGCCCCATTTCTAGCCTCCTGCCAGCGTTCCCCCTCATCATCTGTATTAACCATCTTCTTATTGTCTGATTTACCCTTCATGTGTTTCTATTTGCACAAGTGGGCAGGAAATTTTATGTTTTCTTCTTTCTTCTTGCTTATTCAAAAGATAGTTGATTATAGATATAGATACTCCCTTGTACTTTGTTTTTCCATTTAGCAGCAGATCCTGGAAATCATTCAGTTGTGTAAATGTGTCACAATGTACTTAATCATCCATATATAGAAACTTAGATTGTTTCTAGTATTTTGCAGTTATAAACATTGCTGCAGTAATTTTGACATTTACACTTTTGTGTCATTGTAGTTATTTTCAGGATAAATTCTTAGAAGTAGAATTACTGAGTCAAAAGGTAAATTCTTATCTAGATTTATTACATATAGCCAAATTCCCCATCATAAGGCTGATACCAGTTTGCATTTCCATCAGCAGTGCGTGAGAATCCATGTTTTTCCACAATCTCATCAAAAGAATGTGTCCTACATTAAAAAATTTTGGGTAGTATTATTTACCCTACTTGGGTGACTTTTGGGTTTTGATTTAGTTGCAGAGAACCCCCCAAAATTGTGATTCACATACACTGATTTACACTTGGTGAACAGATTTCCTTTCAGTACACTCTTCAGTTAAGTAAAACTTGCAGAAAATGCTTTATTATAAGGTCTTCATGAAATCAAGTTAATGTACTTGATGAACTGATTTATTTTATAAAATTACAGTTTATAGTTTAAGTTGATCTAACAAAACATTTGTAAAAAAAAAAAGAAACAAACACATTTGCAAACATCTGAAGAATTTCTTCATAACCTTAAAGTTCTTTAGAATTGAGTTTAAAAATCAACTTAGAATTTTAAGAATTATTAACATAGGTACTTGATCCCCCAAGAGCTCTTGGCTTTGCTTGAGAAACAGATTTTACATTTTATTAATTTGTTGAGTAATATATGCTTATACTTCCTTAGTTGAGAAGCTTTCTCTTATGACCATTCTTTTACTGCTCCAAGGCCAGTCCTGAGTAGAGCCTGCAAAATTCCCCACAAACATCCTAACTACATGCCAGAGTGGCATTTTAGATAAAATTATAAACTGACTGGATGATCTGGCTATTGTTATTAATTACAAAAAAATTTTTACTCTCTGATGTTGGGCAATTCAGGAATCTTATAAATAATTCTAATTTTTATTCAATAAATAGATAAATAAGTTTCCTTTGCATCTTTTGGGCAGGGTTTTTGAAGGTGGACTAGCAATTTTGTTAGTGTTTAAGTGGTTAAGTTGAAGTAAAACTTTAGGAAAAGAGAGTAAGGACTCAAAATGGCTGCCTTGCAGATACTTCTGCTTCTTATTCTTTTTTAACTAAGAAGGGTTAAGAATATGTCCAAAATCTTATCACATTTCTCTAACTTAATTTATGACATAGAACTTACGATGGTTTTCAAGTAGAAAAATTACATTTTGGGGTTTGTGTTCTAATTTTGGGATAAAATCTCACTTAACCATCAAGTGTGAATGTTTTAGTGATTTGGAGGGTACTTTTTTCCAGGCTAAACTGTGAGAATGCAGTCCTCAAAGAAACTTTGAAACTGAAAACAGAAGAAGTTAAAATGCTAATGTCTAAAAATGCAAGTAAGTAATAGTATTTTGATAATTCTTTAAAAAAAAGAACACACATTAATTTAGACATAAATATCAGTAGTACTGTGTAATGATATATTTCAAGGATAACAGAAATGCATCATTTAGTCTTTTAATATAAAATTATTATATATATATATATATGTTTATTTTTACATAAATTTGTGCATTTTTCCATGTCAGTTGCAATCCCCTTGGGCCCCATCACCAAATCACCCATGTGCCATCACCATAGTCCAGTGCATTCCAGACAGTCTTGCATAAATTTTTTAGAAATGTCAATTCTCCCTTTTTAGCAGAAACTATTTTAAAGTGGTGCCTTGAAGGAAACCAAATGAACTGTCAATTAAGTCTTGGGCCAGCACAGTCAGGGAGCGACCTGTGGCAGTGTCCTAGGTGAGACGCGTAGGCACACACATGTGCACTGAACACCCGAGTGTCCAGCTGATGGACATGTCTCTGTGCTCAGTTCAGGACAGAAGCTGCTCCTAACCCTCACCCCCACTCCTTCCTGCCTACCATCCACCCTGTAACAAGAGGGCAATAGGGACTGTTTTCTGCTCGAGTAGCAAGGACTCTTCTTGTTCTGTTTGGTTTGAAAGCCTCTTGTGGTAACTCTTCACTAGAAAAACTGGAGAGAGATCAGTATCTCACGCATTTGATAGTAATACAATCAATGAGGACTTACCCTCTCATGCTATGAAAAGCTTGGGAATAATTTGCTGTTATAAGTGCTCTTTTTAAAAATATAATAATTTAAAAAATTTATATATTCACATTATTGATCATTTTACAATGTTTATTTCCCCCATTCCCCACCTGCCATCACCATAGTTCACCACATTCCTCCTTCCTTCTGATTTCTCTGTCCCCCACCCCTGCAGGATCTCTCTGGTTTATAATTGTCTGCTTTTGTTTTGTTGTAAAAATACAAAATTTTAAGAGCCAATAAAGACTAGACTTTGCAAAGATACTTCCATGTTAAAAATATTTACCTAGTGTTACATATGAATTATCTTGCTCCATGCAGTTTATAAGAAATATAAGCTGTTGGTGTAACTGGGTCAGGCAGGGCTAGAGTAAGACCCCATGGCTAACACTTTTTTATTTGGCCCTTCCTAGTTTTAAATCAACAGTATTTGGAGGCTCTTGCCATGCTTGATATCAAACAGCAGAAGATGGTTCAGGAAAACACGTGCCAGGATAATAGTGGCTTCACAGAGGTTTCAGGTCTTGAGGTAGGTAAGCTGATGTGGAAACTGAACAGAAGAGATTATTTTCCACTTTTCTTCCCACCATCCTCATCTGCTACATGTTCTTTTTTGTTTGCTTGCTTTGATTTTTAAAGATTTATTTAGTTATACATACAAGAACTGGTGTGCAGGCCAGAAATATGGAGTGCAGGTGAGAGAATTCACCAGAGACAGAGTGGGGAGCAGAATAAGCAAAGACTGAACTATACTGCTGAGGGGAGCAGCAGGCAAGACAGGAGAGGTCAGTGCACCATGTAAATTAGCTCCCTGATTGAACTCAGGCCTAGTGGCTGCTGGTGGGTGAGAGCTTGACGGTGCTGACTTTAACTAACTCCTGAGCCACCTGAAGGCCCCTGCCATGTGATCTAAGTTATCACCACACTTAGCTATTTGAGACTGAGTAAGAGTGTCCCAGGCAAGTTCTTCAACTTCCTGATACTATCCTCTTCAGGTGTGCCATCAGGGGGTGTAATAGCCACTTCTTGTGTAAACTCCCCCCTTTTTAAATAGTTGTAGCAGAGATTATGTTAGTAACTAACCTGGGGAGAGGCCTACTGTGCTAGAGTACTTTTACTTTTCAACACTTATAGCTATCCTTACTGTCAAAATTCTTACCACTGCCCTGTGAGTACTATTGTAATCCCCATTTTACAAATGAGGTAACAGAGACAGAGGGGTTAACTAATTTGGCAGTCACACTACTACTAAGTGATTTGCTGGAATTTGTACTCAGGTAGACTGATTTTAGAATCTGTACTTTTGTTCACCTTGTGTTACTGTGTGAATGGAAAACTAATGTAATAGCAAAAAGGAAAAGGAAAAGAAATGTAATCTCCCTCATCATTTCTGAGCATATTGTTCTTCCTGGAAGGACCTGGACACAGTGAAAGCTGGCAGCAAGGCTAAGCCCAGTCACAGGAAATCCACATTGTGAATGTGAACATTTAGCTCATTAGATCAAGTCCCTGCAAAGGTCTAAGAATGATAGGAAGCTGGTGCCAGGTTAAAGGCTTTAGAGATCTGTAAGAGTAGGATTCCTGCTTGGACAAACTTGGTTCCAGTTTGTTCAATTGTAGTTAATTTCCATCTGGAACCTGAAATCCTGGTTTTCAGATTTTTTAATTTTTTTTTTTCCTTTTCAGTTTCTTTGAGTCAGTTGATTGAAAAGAAATATACATAGGGGTATGTACCCTGTGTTTGTAGGCAGCTAAGTCATATGACAGTAACAGGGTTAATGCTCTTGGATTTAAAGCTTGCAGTCCTTGGCGCCTGCCTTTGTCCTGGTCCCAGAGGGAGGCCCTGTTCCTGTGCCAAAATGGCAGCATCCACTCGAAAGATGCTTCTTCAGCTCAAACAAGAGGTACTGTAATATCAACACACTAAAAGCTTTAGTTTGCTTCTCAACTAATAGTAGAATCAATGGAACATATACAATACTTAGCTTCATTTTAGTCACCACTGACTATAGAACTTTTGTTAGTTGTATGATAGTCTTATTTGTAAATAAACTTGAATTGTTTATGTGGCTCTAAAATATAATTAGTACTTGGCATAATATGTTAGCTATGTACAACTATAATCCAGAGACATTCTTTGGGAGCTGGGGAGGAGAAAATGGTTTACAATGGGTGGGAAGAGCACAAAAGACTATGGTGATGGTGCACAGGTGAAGTGGGGATGGGAACTCCTTGGGTACCAAACATGAGTGGATAAAGCACACATGTATGAAGTATGATGTAAAAATTTATATAATTAAAAAAAATCTCATAGTTAACATAAACAAAATGTTAGTCATGTAAATTTGCTTGAATAAGTTTGTAGTTACTGCTCAATTCATGTCTTTTGTATATATATATATATATGGCTGTAATACTATGTTAGAGGAAAATGCGCACTTACACTTAAAATCAACAGGCTGTGCAACACTAATGGGGAGATAAATTTTATAAAGTTGCAAGACACAATGGGAGGAACTTTAATACCCATCAGACCTAAGTCTCAATCTTAGCTCCATCATTTTCTAGCTGTATGGCTCTGAACACACGTTAAGTGGAAGGGAATAACTAGTTTCAAGGGTTGTTGAGAAAAATAAAGAGTGACCTGTTTCATGCAATGTGGTGAACATGCCTGACATTAAATCGAATAATAGCTGCCATTATAGTTAACTTTAGTAACAATGAAATTTTTAAAGTATGGAATTTAAAGTCTTTGGAGTATTAAGGTACCACCCGAACATTAGCAATTCATTAGGAAAAACACAGATTACATAGATCAGAGTTAGGCTCAGCTGTGGGTGGCATTTTTGGAGGTTATTTGTAACTCAAGGCAGAATTGAAAGCTAGCCTTTCGCATCTATCTTCTTCCTTACTGAGGGCAGGGCACATACAGAACTCGCTTAGGGTAGTGAGGTCAAGAACTGAATAAGCTAGCAGGGAGTTGATGGGCATCACCAAAATTTGTGGCAAAATAGGACAGGAGGGCAGCTACTGCAGAAGACTGGCTGCTGCTAATTGTTTAAACAGGCAGTAGGTCCATGTGAGGCAGGGAGACTGCACCTGCTAGTCAGTTTAATTCAGTTGAGAATTGTTCTCGTTTTGTCTGACACCTTCCAAACTTTTTTTTAAACCCAGTTGGAACTTTTGCAGAGGAGTAAAGAAGAAGCTTACATAATGGCTGATGCATTCAGAATTGCATTTGAGCAACAATTAATGAGGAAAAATGACCAGGCACTCAGATTGACACAAATGGATAACATGTGTAAAAAAGCAACAAAACGGATAAGTTGGAAGCACCTTAAAGAGGATGGTAAATATGAATTATGTCAATAATCAGGTGTAACTTCAGTTATTTTGCTTGTAATCAAAGTTGGTGGCAAAATTGGTTGCAGACATTAAGCCTGCTTAGCTCCAGCATGGAGAACAGATGTGTAGGTGTCTTCCTCAGGCACCTTTCTTGAATAGGCCTCTGAGAGGAGGTGGAATGCAAAATTTTCAGTTACACTCTTCTGGCGATGTCTTATGTTGCTAGTTGGAGGCAAATCCCTTTGGAAGTCTGACCTTGTCTGGATGGAAGTCAGAGAATGTAAAGAGTAAGGGGAGTAAAGAAGGGAGAGTCATGGTTAAAGTTACCTTAAGAAGCCTGTGATACTGTCACTTACTTGGAAGGTCCCTGCCACTGTGCATGGAGGGTGGCCGTAAGGATAGTGTTATGTAGATTTTCCTTAGGACACAGATTCATATTCATTTCGGTGTTCTGGTGTGTGTTCTTATTACCTTGGAGAATTCCTGTTCTTCTTAGCTGTTGAGAACTTTAGGAAACTTTCAATAGGAAATAGCCTTGAAAAGTACAGTCTCCCAATCTTTGTGTTCCACTTAAAGCATTCGCTCAGAGACTAGAATTTAAAATAACTGTTTTATCTCTGAAAAGCTTTTAGTTTCATACACTTTTCAGTACCTCTTTCTCACTTCAATTCTTAAGTGACAAGACTTTGATTCATTTCATCAGTGTCATTTCAATAATGCGAAGGCAGGATGACTGTTAGAATATAATTTTTTTAATGTTTATGTGGTAACACTCAGGGTATCAACTTTTCTTCTTGATATGCCAGCTGAGAGGAATTCTCAAAGATGGATAAGCATTTTTTGTTGTTGAGAAGAGAAAGTTTCATTCATTCACAAAGTTGATGAGTGAGTCAGCTGATCTGGAACCTCCCCTTTTCCCTAGTTGATTGAGGGAGAGGTCAGGGTAGTGGGAACCCATCACTTTGGTTTATAAGGACTGGTGGAAAGAGGATTGTCCTTTATCTGCTCTCAATTTCCCATCAAACCATTTGCAGAGCAATTTAAAAAATTATTGAAATTCTTTGTATAAATCTCCAAATCTTTACCTTCTGTAACAAACTGCATCCTAGCTATGTTTGAAGAACATCAACGTGCATAGATATGGAATTTAAATATTATGCCAGTACCTAAGTTAGGTGCTTTCAGAACGTATTTTTTGTGGTAAAGTAGGTATAAAAGTTACCATCTTAATAATTTTTAAGTGATGTATCTGTCACAATGTATCTCCAGAACTTTTTCATCTTCCTCAAAAGAAATTCGGGACTCAAACACTGATTGCCCACTCTCCTCCCCTGGTCCCTGTGCTGTATTAGTTAATTGCACAAGCAACAACGACGACTAAGTGCTATTATTTTCATTTTAGAGATAAGGAAATGAAGCTCAGAGAACTCATCCAAGGTCATAGTTAAGTGGCTAAATGAGGATTGGAGTCCAAGTCTTTCTGGCTCTAAAGCAGAATGCGGGGTTCGGAGGTTTCCTGTGGCCTGCAGCCACATTATTGGTTCTGTAGTATTCTCAAAGTGGGTTAAGTAGCTGACATTTAAAATGGCTAAGTTTTATAGCATTCTGATTTGTTGGGCTGACTGACGCCATGTTGTCTCAATGGCTGCATTTCTCTAGCAGGACAGCTGTTGTTGGGAACCGAGGTGCATCTGGATGATGAGCAGCAAGGGGGTGCTCTGGGTTCCCACACAGCAGCCCTCTCAACTGCTTCACAGTCCCAGCTCTAACAGTTTGCATTCCTACCACTCACGGTTACCTGACTCATTCTTGTTAAGAGTTCCTGAAGAGGATAGCCTCCTGAATGACAGGAACGAATCAGCATTGGTTCACACTTACCTCTTTTCCTGGAGTTTATCAAGGAATATATTTTTATGTCTCAGCTGGATTTTCATATTCCATTTTAGAATTGCCACCACAAAGGAGTAAAAACACGTTAAGACAGAAATTGTTGGGTATACTTCCTTCAGATTACAGTTCTAAGAAGACTGAAGATGATGATAACCCTCCAGAAGTCTTTAAGATGCTAATAGACTTGGTTGGTATCTTTGCTTGCTTTTTTGTTAGAGGTGTTTAAGCTTCTCTTTGCTTCCTATTAATTCAATTCTTTATCACTCTTGCCTTGTATGTCCTTTTCCCAGCTCCAGAGTTCTTTTCCTCAAAGTTTTGACTTATGAATTTCATCTCTTTGAACTCTCTGCATGCTCTTTCACTCTCCCTTACATGTTCTTCCTGTGGAAGTTTAAAATTCCACCTTTGGAAAAAGGGTGCTCCTCCTAATTAAATCACCTGTCAATTTGCTTTTATACTGTTCATGAGTTCTCCTGTTTACTCAAGAATTTTTAAGGTATGTAAGGCATTTACTCCATTATATCTTTTTTTAAAATAATAGTTTATTTTTACATCATTTTGTACATTTTTTTCATCTCATTTAATCTTTTAAGCATTCCACATGTGTGAAATCAGTCTTAATATTTCCATTTCACAGATGACTAAGACTTATAATATTAATGTACTTGTCTCTAGAAAAGTGTTAGTTTATTTGCATATAAATGTATGAAACAAGTATATGCAACTAACATTCCTTTAGATAAGTATGGGTTGCATATTACGATATATATGTATAGGCCTTATATACACATATATATATTCCACCCCATCTCTTCAGATGAGTTAGAATTGTCATTAGAAACAAATGCCATTTTCTTTTTCCTTTCAGCAAAATCCTTAATATGTAGTGTAATACTTGGGAATTCATGGACCCCTAGCTAATTTGTTCATATTGATTTGACAGACTTTACATTTTTTTTTT